GTTTAGAATATATATTTTTAGCTATTTCCTTTAAAAAAATTGAAAAAAGTTCAAAAATAGCGATTATGACAATTGTCACCTATCTATGATACATCCTCACTGAATTTTTAATTTAACATGTTTAGAATATATATTTTTAGCTATTTCCTTTAAAAAAATTGAAAAAAGTTCAAAAATAAAGATTATGACAATTGTCACCTATCTGTGATACATCCTCACTGATATTTTAATTTAACATGTTTAGGATATATTTTTTTAGCTATTTCCTTTAAAAAAATTTGAAAAAGTTCAAAAATAGCGATTATGACAATTGTCACCTATCTATGATACATCCTCACTGAATTTTTAATTTAACATGTTTAGAATATATATTTTTAGCTATTTCCTTTAAAAAAATTGAAAAAAGTTCAAAAATAGTGATTATGACAATTGTCACCTATCTATGATACATCCTCACTGAATTTTTAATTTAACATGTTTAGAATATATATTTTTAGCTATTTCCTTTAAAAAAAAATTGAAAAAAGTTCAAAAATAACGATTATGACAATTGTCACCTATCTATGATACATCCTCACTGAATTTTTAATTTAACATGTTTAGAATATATATTTTTAGCTATTTCCTTTAAAAAAATTGAAAAAAGTTCAAAAATAAAGATTATGACAATTGTCACCTATCTATGATACATCCTCACTGAATTTTAAATTTAACATGTTTAGAATATATATTTTTAGCTATTTCCTTTAAAAAAATTTGAAAAAGTTCAAAAATAGCGATTATGACAATTGTCACCTATATATGATATATCCTCACTGAATTTTAAATTTAACATGTTTAGAATATATATTTTTAGCTATTTCCTTTAAAAAAATTGAAAAAAGTTCAAAAATAACGATTATGACAATTGTCACCTATCTATGATACATCCTCACTGAATTTTTAATTTAACATGTTCAGAATATATATTTTTAGCAATTTGCTATAAAAAAACTCAAAAAAGTTCAAAAATGTCGATTATGACAATTGTCACTTATCTATGATACATCTTCATTGTAACATGTCTACAATATATATTTTTATCTAATTCATTTAAAAAAGTTCAAAAATAACCATCATAACAAATGGCTCTTTTCTATGGTACATCTTTACTTAAAAATTTTAAAAAATAACTATGATGGAATAGTTAAATCAGAGCGTTATAATTTAAAGAAGCTTTAAGAAACTTTCCCGCCTATAATATTAATATCTACTAAATGTTATTTGACTTTTGGTCGAAAAAAATGATCTAGACATTTGGTTAGGTGAAAAAAAGCAACCCTAACTTTAAGGCTTCTTTAAAAAAAACGATCCATATTTTGGGTCGGATTGAATAAAACGACCCGATGTTTGAGTCTGAGTCAGAAAAACGACCCAAACTTCAAGTTGGAGTCGAAAAATACGACCCAAACTTCTAGTTTGAGTCGAAAAAAACGACCCAAACTTCAAGTTGGAGTCTAAAAATACGACCCTAACTTCAAGTTTGAGTCGAAAAATACGACCCAAATTTCAAGTTTGAGTCGAAAAATACAACCCAAATTTTGAGTCGGAGTCGTAAAAAACGACCCATATTTTGGGTCGAGGTCGTTTTTTTCGGCTTGGACTTGGGTCGGAGTCGAATAAAACGACCCATATTTTGGGTCGAAGTTGTTTTTTTCGGCTTGAACTCGGGTCGAAGTCATAAAAAACGACCAAAACTTTGAGTTGGAGTCGAAAAAAACGACCCAAAATTTGGGTGAGCTCTGTTCGAACCGACTCGGCTAAGCCGATTAACAACACTACTTACGATGAACAGTAACAAAAGAAAAAGCCATAATTTCATTAATTATCCAAAATTTAAAATTTTATCTATATTTTTCTAATTTTAATCCAAAAATCCTACTATTGCGTTGTGTAATTTAAAAATCAAATAAAAAAAATTTTCTTACTTTTAAATATCCAGAATCCACTATAATTTTGAGGAACCCGGTCCTAGAAAATATTTTTGTTGATTAATAACGTCTGAAATTTATTTTTATAAAACACTCTTGTTTTATTTTTTTCTCTAAATATTTCAATTTTTATATTTTTCTCAAACTTATTTTTTCCCTAATAAGTGTTAACGTATCTTGGTCAGTCGGTACCAATAAAATAACTCTAATTTTAATAAAATAACTCTAATTTTATTTAATTTAATAAAATAATTCTAACAATCTATTTATTAATACTAAAATAACTCTATATTTAATATTTCTTTATATATATTTATTTAATCTCTCCGATTTTAAAATATATTCTTGCTATATATTCTTAATATATTCTTGCTATATATTCTATCATAATTTTATTAATTTCAACAATCTTGTCATAATTTTAATAATAAATACAAAAACATTCGTTTCTTTTTTTGTTATTACAAAACCTTCCGCGCCGATTATCATATAAAAATCAATATCAACAAAAATCAATATTATTACTAACTAAATATATATTTATAATAATTGACATCTATCAATCATTTAAGAATAATAGTTTAAATATATATAAAATATATTATATATATATATATAAAATATACATCAGTAAGCTTAAATCAAATATTCATATGCAGAGGACTTTCAACTTAACAATATCTCAAATGCCGATAATTTGTCTTTTGCAGATAATTTGTCTTTTGCAGATAATTTGTCTTTTGCCGATATTAAAGGATTCGTAACATGTGTTTATGACGATTTTTGGTGGTTAGCCACAGTACTAAAAAAGAATGAAATTACTGAGGAGATATATATTTCCTTTTTACATCCCCATGGACCACCACCATCCTTCTTTTACCCCATAATTAAGGAAAAGATATGGTTACCCATTAATCAAATAATAACAATAGTAGATCCTATTACAGTAATAGGACATATCTACAAATTATTGTCTCGAGAAATTCTATTAATAATCACAAAATGGGATAAGATTAAAACAAGAGGTATTTATTTTTATATTATTTGTGTATAAAATTTTAAAATATGTTTATTTTACAATATAGCGTCCTAATAAAATAATATCTGTATGGGCTGCCTGCTTACATATTGCCTCAGGACATCATTCTTGGTTATACTCAATTGATTTTTTAATTTTAGTCACAATACTATTCATATTTTTATTAAAAATTATATATTATAAAAAAAACATTAATATAACGCCATCTATATTACATTTATTTATTTATAAAAATAATAAAAATTCAAATAAAATTAAAAACCAAAAATGGCTATTGAGATTTTTTATTAAATCGTTTAATATAAAGGTATTAACCAAAAAAAATCCCTTCCTAACAATGTTAATTTTTTATTTTAACTGGAAATAAGAAAACACTTGAAATTTTTAAATTTTTTTAAAATATTTTCCAACGTAAGGGCTATAAAATGACATATAATTTATAACTCTATCTTAAGTATTTTTTAAAATAACAAGATTTAATGAAATCACGCACTTCGCGATTTTCGACTTTGAAGGCGTATATCTTTGGATCTGGTAGAGCTAGCACTCTAAAATTTTGATTTTATTAACATTTACAACATAAATAACTAACATGCCAAGTTTCATTCATTTTTGAGATGATAAGTTAGTTGAAATTTGGTATAAAAATCTTGACAGAATAGAGTACTCTTTGAGATCAAAAATGCTTTGCAGGCCCTATCCATGTGTAATTACACTTTAGATTCCCTGCCTAATATCAAAACATTGCTATTTATTTTAGCTACCTTACCGATTGGCACCTGCACTAATGAAAGGTCTTTTTCAACTTTGAAAATATTAAAAACCTATTTAAGAAATAGCACCAGCTAAATCCGTTTATTTGGATTCGCAATATTAAGGAGATTATTCTGGATAAAAATTTGATTCTAGATGAATTAGCTAAATCTCAGAGAAAAGTAGACCTCTCTTTATAAATTCAATCATAAAATTGTTATATGTTATAATATGTTCTTAGTAGTGTTGTTAAACGGCTCGTTTTGAGTCGATTTTTTAAAGCGGCTAACTCAATATTTTAGCCAAAAAAATAATGCCCAGCCTCAAGAATTTCGTTAATATATGTATACATTTTTGTTCCTTCTATGAACAAAATCTTCAGGCTTGCGTAGTATTTTTTCTGGATAAAATACTGAATTAGCCGTTTTTAAAAATAGCCTCAAAACGAGCCGTTTAACAACACTAGTTCTTAGTCATAAAATTTTTATATTCAAAGCGTAATTATAATCAATTCTTAGTCATAATATTTTATATTATACAATTTTTAATAAAATATAGCATTTGCAATAAGAATTAGTGATCTGCATCAGGCCTAATTTTTTAAGCCCGGCCCGAAATTATTTTAAAAAAGTATTGCCGGCCTGCCCTGAACCAAAAATTTTTTTAAAAAAGTTTTGTCAACCCAGCCCTCTTTTATTTAAATATAGAAATTCATTTTTATAATTACTCAAAATAATAAACATATCTTATATGGCATCTAGTTTTTAAAAATAAAATCAAATATTTTTATTTTACATAAAAAATTTAACATAAAATTGATATATTTAAAAAAAATTCCAAGGCCCGACCCAACCCTTCAAAATTTTTTAAAAAATATTAGGCCCGAACCTGATTTTTCTACTTTTGCAGATATCTAATAAGAATTATTTATGTTTTGTTAATATACTCATTTGTAATAATTATAATTGTTAAATTAGATTTTTTTAAAATACCGTACAAGAATTACTCATATTTTTTTTTATTGTAATTTTATTTTTTTTAATATAGTTATTTACAATAAATTTTTAATATAATCTGTATAAAATTTCTACATTTTGAAATTTATTTTATTGTATATTAATATTATCATTAAAATAAATACATAGTTAAATAAAGGGCTGTTATTTATACTAAAGTATTTTAATAATAAATAAAATCTATAATGAAAATCTCTGCAAAATTTTGTTATATGCAAAAATTTAATTAAAATAATTATTTTTAACATAGAATAAGATATATTTGAGTATAAATAAAATATTTTTACCATCGTAAAATATTATCAATCATGAAAAAATTTATTGGATGGCATCAGTTCAAAACACTTTTTTTAAGGACCACACATAAATTGGAAAGAAAGGTCAGTAGGACTATCAGCCCTAATCTTAAAATTTAACATTCTATTTTAATAATATGGTAAATATAGTGTATTAGTTTATTACAGCATTAAAAATGATTTTTATTTATTATCTTAAGTTTAATCAAGGTAATGATACAGCGAATTTTAAAACATTTGATTTTTCCAATCAACAACCACCACCCTCTTCAACTTTTCCATCATTCGTCACTTATAATTTGCCAACCGAGCTAACTCCCTCTCAACTCGATTACTGTCGATCTCTCATAAATATGTACATGGTGAATTCAGATATGACTATGCTAAAATCTTCCCTGAAGAATCACAAGATACCCGATATTTATTCGCTCTTTTATAATTTTATCAAAGTTTTGATTTTAAAAAACATTTCTTAAATATGATATTTATAAAATTCAACCTTATAAGTAAAATTCTGAGGCCTGGAATGAGACCTTTTGAGAATGGAACTTTGATAAATTTATTCCCCGGAACAGTATATTCCGGAATCTTCCCAGAATGTAATTAAAAAAATTTTAAAAATTTATATTGATTGATATGTCGATATAGATATATCATTATATTTATATTATTTTTTAAATTAAGAGAGAGAAAATTTAAATTGATCTTATTGCTTCTATATAATAATTGATTCATATCAATGGTTAAATAAAGATTATGAGTAAAATGTGTTGATTTAAAAAATACATAAAGTTAGATAATTTTTTAGGAACATTTTGTGAACGTTCCAAAACCCAGAACGGAACACCTTTTTTGAATCGAAACAGTAACGCAAAAATGCTGTTGTTCCAAGTCCCTAAAAATTATAATAAAAGTATAAAAACTATTATTTATGAAAATGGGTTTGTTGCATAATAAATATTGATTACACATTATTTTTCTTTACCACTTGCTATACTTCACATAATTTTTTAAAAATTTTTGCAAATAAAATCACTCAATTTAATTGTTTGTTAGGACATAGCTTACAGTAATTTTAATTTATATAGAACAAATCGCCCGATATAGACAAAATTGGAATGCTATTAGTAAAGGTATGAATCATTTAATTTTTTTAGACAATGCGATATTATTTTACATTTTCAATCACTAGATTATAACTGACAAAAATATGAACAGCAATGAAAGCACTGAATGCACAAGTTATATACGTTTTTATATTTATATTTAAATTTGTAAACTAATTTTATTAATTTAACTAGATATTGCACCGATTTTTAATGGATAAAAAAATTATTTATGAATATGATACAATGCTAATACTATAATCAGAATATTTTTTTATGATTTCTGATAATTTTGATTATAATCTATTTCCTATCTACATTTTGCCTATGATATTATTAAAAATAGGTTCAGTCGATTGTTTAGCGATAAAATAGGGTCATATTGGTTATTTAAAAAAATTTATATCAATATTTTTTAAATAACATTTCTTTAAACTTGTCTTAATTTAATTTTAGATGATTTGATGAAAGCGATATTTCAAAATTCTGCCAAATATAATGAAAATCAACTGATATCGTCTCTACTTTCTCATTCTGGTTTTCTTAAGGTTTACTAATTTAAACATTTTCAAAACAAATTTAAGTAATTTTGTTACTACCCTGCTGTTAAAAAAAACTTTCATGTTTTTTAAGCATCAATTTATCTTATTCATATAATAAAGAAATTGAACAAAAATGTGGCTACCTCTTCATACATGGTATTTCTTTCTACCATGGCATTATATAATACCATAAATTCAAGTCTGATCCGATATCCCTACATTTGGAAAAAATGGTTGGATTTGACAGATTCAGACCCTATTATTTTTAAGAATTGGTCTAAGGCCTGATACAAATAAATTGTATTATATTCTTAAAACTTTGATTAGAAATATCTTTAGTATTTTAATTGAATACTGTATATAATATAAATTATTATTATAAACTTTTATATAATTAAATAATTCTGGATAAACAAAAATTTATTACTTTTTTTAGTATGTGTAGGACCATCAAAACAGGTCCACTAAGGGTAGTGCACAGGGTTGCCAGGTCAAAATTTTAAAATTGCGGGAAATATAAAAATAGCTAAAAAAAAATTTGCAGGCCTTCGGCCAGAATTTTGAATTGATTAGTTATCCCTATTATTTTTTATAATTACTTTATATAAATACAAAGTTAATAACTATTTTTCAAAATAAAATAATTACCTATTTTGAAAATTATTATTTGTAAAATTAAATAGAGTTATAAATAATAATTATATTTTATTTGAGATTTAAATAATGAAACTAAACGTTTACCATCGTTATTGAGATATTTATAAAATTGCTGGCATGACATATTATAATTTTGTTTAACCATTAGCTCAGCCTCTAATGTTGTTAAAGCAATCCGATTTCTCTCCTTTTTCCAGGCAGTCCTCATCAGGCTAAAAATGCGCTCTGGTGAGGCATTAGAATGAGGTAAGGAGAAGACATACTCGCATTTTTTTTCAAGCATGGGGATTTATTGTTATTACGAAAAAATTCTACCCATTACTCCTCTGCTTAGACCATCTAACTTTAAGTATTTTGGCGAATCATAAAAAATAGAGAGAATTACAATCTCCTCAAATAAGACATCAATGTCTTTCGGTATTTTTAATATATTTATTAAATTATAAAAACCATCAATTGATGGTTTCTGTTCCAAGGTCATAATATTTATACATTTGTAAATAGAGTTATTAAAATCAAATTTTGATTGCAAATATTCTAAAATTATCTTAATAAAAATATTTGCTATTTAAAAATACATTAATTAGAGTATTATTTGAACATTTTAGTATAAAATTTTTAGCAATAGCGCCATAATTTATTAACAATTTTTAACTGTAAAGATGAACACGGCCGCAGCATAATTTTGTGAATCTTTATTAATTAAGATTCTTCTAATTGCAAATGAATATTAATAGCATGTATATTTCCTACACGTGAAACCATTCCTAAATATGCTTCTGCCATTTCATCCTCGAAAAAATTTTTCAAAATTTTAGGACAGCTTTTATAATTTATATTTAAGAAGTATTTTTTTAAAGGTTTGTAAAATTTTAAAATTTTATCGATGGCAGGTATTGATGATAACCACCTGATAGGGACATGTCGCAACAACTCACACCATTCCAAGTCAGACCACTCCACCAACTCTTTTAATTCATTAACTCTTTTAGTTGATGAACTAAATTCATTAAAACATTTCAGCATAATTATTTCGACATCCACAGATAATACATTCATTGCCTTCTTGTAAGAATTTTGTAGTATATGGCATATGCAGCCAATTGGTATTAAGTAATTATTGTGCTGCCTCAATTCGGTAAATATACTTTAGTTTTTGCCAAAATTCACAGAGGCATTATCAGCGTAGGCTGACATGTAATATCGACCTTTTAAATCGTTTAGAATTGACCTCTTGAATTCAGGTCCTAAAACATTTTTGATAGCCTTGATAATTTTTGTTCTACCACAAGTAAAGTTTGTACTTATATCGTAGTCGTTAAATATTATGGGGAAAAGATTAGACCCACATTGTGATGATAGATAGCTCTGTGAATGTTGAACTACATGATAGGTGTATACGATTTCCGCAACTGTAGTTGCATCTGTATTATTAATAACGTGATTGAACTATCAGTATCATTGAAATGAGTATAATATTATTTATTTAATTTAATCTGAACGTGATAATTAATCGTCTAGTCTCATAATGTTATACACAAACACACTGAAAATGATAAAATATGAAAAATAACAGGATAGAAAGAAATTTACAAACTAGACATGTTTTTCGAATAAATATTTAAAATTTAATTTAAAAATAATCAATTACTGTCTCAAAATTATTATTTATATATATTAAAAACGATAAAATGCTAAAACAAAATTGTGCGGGAGAAATTAAAATTGCGGGAGTGAGATGTCAGCATGTAAACTAAAAAATTGCGGGAGTCTCCCGCTGATGTGAGGAGAGATCGCAACCCTGGTAGTGCATAGTAATTTGTAAAAACCATCGTTATGCACAATTAAGATTTTTTGTCCGCCAAGACATTCTTATTTCCATATTATAAATGCTAGTTTCATGTACAAAGAGGTGATGAAAATATATTTTTTTCTAATGATAATCCATTCAACTACGCTAATCGTACTTTCTTCTACGTTTAATGGCGGTTTACAGGATAAACCAATTTCCTCTCTCATCCACCCTTTTTCACTGTCCTGAGCATCGCTATTTGTAAGAACAATTTTTCTCGTATCATACGTTATCACTTTCATCCACAGCTTGGTCTTCCTTTAGGCCTTGATCCCCTTACTTCAAAACACGGTCTATTTCTTCTCATCACCACTCCAATCGCTTCTATTCCAATCTTGTTTAGCAATTCCTTGCCTATTTCTCTCTCTTAGAAATACTTCGCACTCATCTAACCATTTTCATCTCCGTTTCCAATTTAACTTCGTGTGCCACTTTCATTGCCCATGTTTCACTACCACATACTATACAACTTAAGAAATTTTTTCTTCTATTGCAAGCTATGCCACTCTTGTATTTATTTTAAAAAATACATCTTGTTTTCTACCTTTTATAACAGAAAACAAATATTTTAGGAAGCTAATAATTTTATTCAAAAAGATTATCCTTTATAAAATTCACTTTTTTCTGTCTTTTATACACGACAAAAAAATACAATAAAAAATAATTTAATGATAAAATAAAAATCTGACCGCTGAACACTGATTGGACCACGATTATAAAATAAAAAATCGGTTCAAACCGTGGTTCTAAATAAAAAAACTGCTCTTTTAGTTTTTTTTTATTTTAAAAATATTTTCGTTTTTAAAATATTAATAATGAATAATCAAATATTTAGTTTAAAAGTAAAATATTTTTTTGACAAACTTATCGTTTTCATAGTATATTGCAAAATAAAAATGAACCGAAATGAATCACAAAATACTAACATCTGCTTAGTTGAAAGTAGTAAATATATACTTTGTTAACATATTTTATTTTAATACAAAAATGCTTTATTTAATAATATTTACAAATAAGCTGAAAGTACTAAATATATACTTTACTCTCCATCAGCAACTCAGGGCTATCTCATTACTGTTTAAGTTAACTTGTTCAATAATCAAAAGGTATTTTTTTGAAATCTTTTTCTGAAGGTTCCAGCAAATGTTTACTTTGTCCAGCTTTCCAAATTGCTGATCAAAATTCTAAAACTTGGTTGAAATAGCTGAAATGAAAAACTCTTCATTTAAATCGCTATATTAAAAAATCCAATAATTTTATTTTATAGGCATTAAATTATAATCTAGTTGCTTTTTTGAATGAGATAAATAAAAAGTTAAAAATGGCATGCACAGCTACAAAGCGCTTGCCTTTGATGTGGAGTATCCTGGGTTCGGATCTGATGTTTACCAAAATATATCGATTATGGAGATTATATATATTAGATGATATTAAATAAATATTTAAGGCTTACGATCAATTGTGGAGCAGGATTCACATTAATATTTATGCCAATTAGTTTAAGTTATTTTAAAAGTTTCAATCTATTTATAAAATTATTTAGAGTGAAGACAAAAAATTTGTCAAGCCAAATCCTGAAGATATGGAAAAAGTTAATAAAGCATTAAAAATTATATCAGAAAAGCCATATATAACTAGCTCGGCTCACGATATGCTGAAAGCCTTTATAAAATGAATGCAATTACTCTGAATTAAATTAATGTTTTTACCAAAATATTTGTAAATTAGTGCTTAAATAATTTTAATGCTATGTTTTCGCGTCGACTTTTATTCAATATTTATATTATTTTTTTTATAATAAAGTGGGGTAATAAATTGAAAATTTAAACAAATCACAATACGTTTACCATCATTTGTATTGTAGTGTACTCGACATTTAGTAAAAAAAATTGAGTTGTTTTTTATAATAAAAAAATTTCGAATTAAAATAATTTTAAGAAAAACATAATTGGGTTTCTAAAAAGGAACAATCGATAAATTTAAAGTTTGCTTGTATATTTTGGCTTAAGGGATAAGAATTCTTTAGTTCAAGTTTTTGTAATTTAATTTTGTGAATTATTTTAAAAGACTAAAGGTGAAAGGAGCAAACTATCCGTTGGTAGAAGTTGTAATTGGCGTGAATATTAAAATGTTGGTTTTTTATTTTTTTTAAGTCTGTTAGAGTAAGCAGGTTGCTAATTCTGTTGTTGGGGAAGGATGAGGAGACACATATATAATCTCAAATAAGGAATTTGCTCAGGTGACAGTGGCCAGGTCTTAGGCCTTCATCTGATCTGTCTAAACCAATTTATATTAAAATTTTAAGTTTTGAACAGTTATAGAATTTTTATTTTATTCATATAAATTCTTTTTTTTATTTTTTATTCTACTTTTATCATAAGCAATAATTAATAAAAATCTTTGCATCTCACTCTTGGTAATATAACCTAGGTTAATATTAATGGCATTGGCTACAAATTTTATTTTTAATAATCAAAAGGTGCTACATTTAATAATTTTGAGAATATTTATTGATTTTAAATTTTCACAAAATATGTATTAAAGTAATTTTAGAAATTTTTAAGTTTATTCATATGAAGCGCTCGAGATAAAAACAATTAAAGATCTATAAATAACAGCCCAGGCAGGGTCTATTTTTTTAAAAATAATTTGGGTTGAGCTGGGTCGTGGGCTTAAATTTTTATGATATAATTACATCATGTCAAATAAAATTTTTAATTCTTACAAGAAACAAAGCCCTAATACTTTTTTATTTGTAGAATGTTTTTTTACAATAAAAAAAAATAAGTTTTTCTATATTTAAATAAATTCGGACTGGGCTGGGCGGACAAATAACTTTTATTTTGGGTCGGGCTTTTCGGGACAAAAAAGTTTCGTTCGAGATCGGGCTGGTCAGGACGAATTATTTTTGGCTGGGCTTGATGAATATTTAAGAACATTAAACAAAATAAATATTTTTTTAGTTGAGTCAAGTCCTATAAAGCTGTATAAATATTATAAAGAACAAAATAAATTAAAGATTTGCTTGTAGATTAGTTTCCTTATATAATGTAGCTTTTCACTTTTTAGAAAATGATTATAGAGTCCATAAGGCTTTTTCCTAACAAGACCTGTTTTTATGTTTAACAGCTTATACGATTTTAGGCAATGGGTAGTGATATTGTACTAGCAGTTTATTTTAAATGGGCTGTATATATTAAGCTGCAAATTCGGTAGGTAAAAATTATTAATATGTTGCTAATTTATTTACTTTTTAATAATAAATTTATATAAATTAATTATTCTAATTTATTTAATTTAATTATAAATGTTTTAATAAAATTATATTCAAAATAATTAGAAAGTGAAAAATAGAAATAAATAATGTTTATCTCGCAAGGTGTCGTATTTTGATATTAAAATCGTTTTTAAAGTTGGCAAGGCTAGGTTGGGTTTTAAAAGGCGCTAAATATGAAGCAGGGTATCCCTATAAATTTCAGACGATTTCTCGTATATTTTTGAATCAATTTTTAACACGGCTTTTTTTAGTTAAAATTATCTGAAATTAATAGGCTCTCTTACAGTGTACCAAACAAGTATGTATTTAATACTTCAAGAATGTTTAAAAAGAATAGGGAAGATTCAATACCTTTTAAATATATCGTTAATAAATACCATTAAATTTAATACTGTATAACTATTTTATTGTTATATTAAATATTTCTTATCATAAAAATAAAATTTTATACAGCGTGTTTCTTTTAGTTAAATTTAAAAAAAACTTTGTTAATAATTTTTTTAAAACTATAAAAAAATATAATAGTATAAAATATATAAATATTTTTTTTTCATGTAGAATAAATAAGATAAAAAATCATTTTAGAAATAATACGAATCTATTTTGAGCAATTCTTAATTGTCGATACCAATTTTTTAAATTTTGTTAGGCATACTTGTCTAAAGGATAGTGTTTGCCATATATTTTAAGATGCCTATGTAGATCTTCTTTTTGTTTTATCAAGTTTAAAGGCAACTTATCATATACATCAGTAAACATTTCGTCAATAGGTGGTTTCAATTCTTTTTCAGCATTGTTGAAAGCCTCCAATATCTATTTAATTTTTATTAAATATGAAATTAGCAATAATTGAAGAAAAATAATAGTACCAACTTGTGATCTAGACGTCTTCTGCAACTTCGCTTCAAGATTATCGTTCCAAAATCCTTGATTAGTCATGTATTTTTTCAATCTTTGAACTGGATTTTGTTCAGTATTCCAATAGTCGACTTCTTCCTTACTTCTATATGCGGAACTATCATCCGAAGTACTGTGATGACCAACTCTTGTATTTCGATTATAAATTATTAAAATAAAGTGAGTTGATATTTAGTCGTTTTAAATCAGGGGTTCGAACCGAACCGCAAAACCGGAATGAACCGTTATGATTTTCTGAACCGTAACCTTAACCGAACCGTTATGAAGAAAATATTAAGAGCGAACCGAACCGTTATAAATATTTTGAACCGGTTCAAAACGGTTTTAAAAATAATCAATTTTAAATTATTAACCTAAATTTAAAATTTTAATTTTCCTTGGGGGCATTTTTTAAATTGGTGATTTCTTTTCAAATTAAATATTTCTATATTATCAACATTATATATCAAATTAAATATTTTTATATTATCAACATTATGTATCAAATAATACCAGGTTTGTTGTTTTTTCTTTAAATACTTAATTTATAAGAGATTAGACAATTTATCTGTTAATTAGATAAGATATCTTAAATCAGACATAATTATTCTTGGCTAAATTAACAAATTTATATATAAGATATTAATAAGCTTTTAGAATAATACCTGCTAATAATTAGGAAAAAATTATACAATTCTATTATTAATAAATAACATCTAGTAGAAATCAAGTACCTTTTACATTCATTTTTATATCATATGGTTTATTTTTTATCTCATTATAAAAACTTGGATCATAGAATTTAAATGACAATAAATAAAATAGTCAGCAATATTTTAATGATATAATAATTTTTTATTTATAATCATTGTTTTTTTAAATTCAGGCCAGAACTTTATAAGTTAGCTATAACTGTGCTAGCAGTTCTAGCTAAGCAGGTCTCCGTAGAAAGAGCATTTTCAAGCCTTAAGTTTATACTCTCTGCGCAGAGAACTAAATTAAATCCTGAAATATTAGAAAATATTTTAGTTATCCGTTCGAATTCTCTTTTTAAACCTAAATAGTATAGTATACATATTATTTTATTGATTATTGTATTTATGCATGTTTGTTTTTATCTTATTTATTTATGAAATAAAAAAAAACTAATTTGTCTAATTTATATTTCCTAAATTTAATAAAAATATCTATTAGATTATCATGGATAAATTAAATAAGAAATTATAAACTAAAAAGATTTTTCTCTAAAATTAATATATACATGGTTAATGATTAATTTTTTTTAAATTAAATTTATAAAAACCGGAACAAACCGAAAAGAACCGTTATAAATTATAAACCGAACCGATATGATTTTTTTTTAAAAACCGAAATGGAACAAAACCTTTATAAAATTTTAAACTAAAACCGAAACGAACCGAACCGTTATACTAAACGGTTCGAAGCCCTGTTTTAAATTGCCTCCTCGCTTCCATCGAATATTATGGTATTTAAATTAGAGATCTGTAAAAGTAGTCGGGCCTATTTATTTTTAAAAAGAAATCGGGTTCGGACTGGGCCGGGCCGAATTTTTTTTTTAAAAATTTGAGCCGGGTCGGGTCGGGCTTAGGAAATTTTTTTTAATATATATAAATTTATCAATTTTATGTTGAATTTTAAATGTAAAATAAAAATAGATTTTATTTATAGAAACTAGACGCCATAAAACATATATCATTTATTTTGAGTAATTATAAAAATTAATTTTTATCGGTAAATTTTTTAAAAAAAATTTTTTAATTCGGTGAAAAATTAGGCCCGATGCAGATCACTAATTTAAATAATGTTAAAATATAAATAATTCCGTAGCAAAGCCAGGATAACTATATAATTTTAAAAACCCAAGATGGGCCAAAAAAATTAAATTGTACCAATTAACTAGCTAAGAAATCACATGATATCATTTAAACATTTTTTGATCGGTAACAAAATACGACAAAAAATTCTGAAAATGGGCATCTTAAGCAAAAACAACGATTATTTGTTTCTAATTGTGATGAGTTTTTGAATATTCAAAAAAACTGTTTTTAGATGGGTCTGAGATTAGTACTTAAAAAAGCGCGCTAAAATTCTCCGCTTATTTTATTTTTAAAAAATTTTTAGGAAAATTTCTCGGTACTATAGTGAATAGTCGTCAAAACGAATTATAAATTTTCATATAGAAACCTTTTTTAATAAGCATAAAAATTCGGTTTAATATTATTAGTTTTCCTTTAATAATATTTTTGTATTTTTAATTGTAAAAAAGATTATACATAAAATACTTACACTTAAATCTAGTAAGCTACCATTTCCAAATCCCCCAATAATAATTCTTAGAAAATAATTTACCGGAATTGATTATCTCAAAATTTTTAAATATTTTATTTGAGGATCTTTATTTCGTGGATATATTTATAGGGAATTTTCTCTCCTATTTTATTAATTTTGTAATATTTAATATCTTAAAAAACGGAAAATTTTTTCCAGGGAATTATTTTCCTAGATTGACATTAACATCAAATATATTGTTTTCGAATAATTCAAATTGCATTCTCTAGGAATAGTAATAATATTTTTTAAAACAAATCGAATATTTTAGCAATCGAT